TCACTTTGGGGAATCTATGCCTAAAAAGATGGGCATTTGTGCTCTAAAATATCTACAATTCAGTTAGAGATTTGCATAACTGCCAATATGTAAAGTTGTTGAGGACAGAGATAACTGATTTCAAATCTGAGCCTCCAAAAATCATCAGAGCAAATTCACTGGCAGGAATGTGTATTTCACATTGGCAACTCCATGTTGCTTTGAGGTGAGTAACTGAAGAGATGCATTTCTTTATTGAGGATTAACAATTATCTTGAGCAATGCAAGACATGAGGGTAGCTAATGCAAATTGAAATAAAATTCCAGTGGTCCCTAAGCCATTGAATGGCACCATCATTCCTCTCACTTGCCAAAGCCAAACATCCAGAAGTCATCTTCATGCCTCCTTTACTCCCATTTCTAATTTATCACCAAGATCTGTCAATTCTATCTTCTATAAATATTTCTTCATTTCATCTACTTCTTCTCATCTTCCAACATCCACAACTAGTTCAAGTTATCTTGTTTTATCTCGGGTACTACAGGAATCTTTTGTCTGGTCTCATATCTACTCTTGCTTGCTTCTAAGCTTTTATTCATCCAGCAACCAGGGGGATCATTTAAATTTTCAAAATTTAAATTTGTGTGACCTTACTTTATCCTCTTTTTAAAAAAATATTTATTTTTTTACAGTTGTACACAATAACTTTATTTAATTTATTTTTTAATGTGGTGCTGAAGCTCGAACCCAGGGCCTTGCACATGCGAGGTGAACACTCTACTGCTGAGCCACAACCCCAGCCCCACTTTATCCTCTTTTGTAATTTCCCATTGCTCTCCAAACAAAGACCAAAGTCCTAAACGTAGCCTATGAGGTCCTGCCAACCTGTCTGTCTTAATCTTGAGCTACTCTTTCCCTCATTCTGCACTGTTAACCACACTTTACAAGGCAAATAACTACCCCCTTATAGACAAATATGATGGTCCCTGGTCTTCATTATTGACCACTGCTTCCTTATCACAGCTCTTGTTTTCCCTTGTCTTGCATATTCTCACCACTCCTCTGAGTTGTTGTTTCCCTCTTCCCACCCAACTATGAACATTCCCAGTATTGTCTATCCTCTTTTCTATAGTCCATACTTTTGTCTTTTAGGTGAATTGATATTCTTTATTACCTGAATCCAAGTACATGCCTACATGGTATGAGTAGGATAGAGATACACAGAGATTACATAAAATGCCCAGAATAGGCAAATCCATATAAACAGACAATAGATTAGTGGTAGCCAGGCGCTGGAGGAGGAAGGAATGGGGAATGACTGCTAATGGGTCATTACCTCACACCCTATGTATTGAAAATAGAACTTATCACTATCTTGATCCCTTAATCCCAGAAATATTTCCTTCCATCTTTTTTTCTTTTTTTTTTTCAATTTGTTCTATTTTGTTGCCATCTTTTCTTTTAATTTTACCAGTATTCTCTGAAACTTTGTATTTTAGAGCCATTTTCTTTCTTTTTAAAAAAAATATTCAAATGTATGAATTGTCAAGATCATTGTACTGTCATGTGTAGCTAAAAAAAGTAGTTGTAGGGCTGGGGTTGTGGCTCTGTGTAGAGCACTCACTTCGCAAGTGTAAGACCCTGGGTTTGATCCTCAGCACCACATAAAAATAAATAAGCAAAATAAAGATATTGTGTCCATGTGTAACTAAAAAAAAATAAAAATAAAAAAAATTAGTTGTGGATGGACACAATACCTTTATTTTATTTATTTATGTGGTGCTAAGGATCAAAACCAGTGTTCCATGCATGTGAGGCAAGCACTCTATCACTGAGCCACAACCCCAGCCCTAGAGCCATTTTCAATTGACCTAAATTTTATTTCCTATATCAAATTGGTTACCAAGTTCTACTGATTCTCTCTTTAGAACATTTCTTAACATCTTTTCAATGTCACTGTTTTACTTTGACCCCCATCACTTTATTCTTAGACTCTTACTATCCTCTTTAAACAAATCTTGGGCTGGGGGTAGCTTAGTGTTAGAATGCTTGCTGACATTTGGAAAGCCCTGAGTTAGACCCACAGCACTGCAAAAACAAGCAAGGAAGCAAACACACCCCCCAAGTCTTCCTGTCTGTGTTTTTTCACACTCCAGTCTTTTCTAAACACCACTGGCATCTTGATCTTATTAAAACTACAGTTTCATTATATCACTTTCTTCCCAAAATGTTTCAGTGCCTTTCCACTGGCAACAGAATAATTCCAAATTCCATGGCTTATAATGCAAAACCTCTTGCACTCTACCTCACAGGATATTAGTCCTTCTTACCAAGATTTAAAAAGTAACATGGGCTGGGTATGATGGCACATACCTATAATCCCAGAGGCTTGGGAGGCTGAAGCAGAAGAATCACAAGTTCAAAGCTAGCCCCAGGAACTTAGCAAGACCCTAAGCAACTTAGTGAGACCCTGTCTCTAAATAAAATTAACAAATAAGGCTGGAGATAAGGCACAGTGGCTAAGCACCCCTGGGTTCAATCCCTGGTACCAAAAAAAAGTGCCATGGTTTCTTTACTGTAAAACTTCCTTAAATGTTCAATGAATTAATATGCATTATAATGTTGCAAGAGGATGATATATAGAACACAGCATTTGCAAAACTTATTTGACTAAGAACCTTGTATTCATAGACCATCTGTTAACATTTCTGATGACACTAATGTTCTGAGGAAGAGCATGTAGGAAATGCTTAAAAAGCCCATCCTACACTTGAGTCTCCTTTCCCATTAATTACTCTACATAAATTGTCTACTTAGGCCAGACCATATTATGCTTGCTCTCAAATACAAGTCTTTATTCTCTTCTGCCCATTTGAAACAACCTTTTCTTTTTCTGTGAATCTATATTTTTATTTTTTATTGATATTTAATTTTATATATCATCAAACTCACTATGTCAAAGTATACAATTCAAGCTGGGTACAGTGGTGCACGCCTGTCATCCCAGCAGCTCAGGAGGCGGGGGCAGGAGGATCACGAGTTCAAAGCAAGCCTCAGCAAAAGTGAGGCACTAAGCAACTCTGTGAAACCCTGTCTCTAAAAAAAATACAAAATAGGGCAGGGGATGTGGCTCAGTGGTCAGGTTCTCCTGAGTTCAATCCCTGGTACACACACACACAAAAAGTATGCAATTCAGTGGATGTTGTTCACAGAATTGTACAACTATCACCATTATCAAATTCCAGAACATTTTTATCACTCCAAAAGGAAACGCTGTACCCATTAGCAGACATTCCCTCATTCTTCCCTCCCCCAGCCCCTGGCTACCACTGATATACTTTCTGTCTCTATGGATTTGCTTATTCTGGACATTTCATATGATCTCTGCATATCTCTATCTGGCTCATCTACCCTCAGATCATGTTTGTTTGGTCACTTTTTTTTTTCATTCATTTGGTTAAAATGACAACACTCATACTCTGTATCACTGGACCAGGCTGTGAATACACAAAGTTGAATGACATTTTGCCTTCAGGGAACTCCCCCTGTTAGTGGTGGAGACAGACAAGAAGACAGTGTTAGAAGTACTTTTGTGGTACTAGGAGCAAAGAGATTTGAGCAAGAAATTGTGGAGAGTCAGGAAAAAAAACTCACTTAGGAATTCACATTTAACTGGAAATTTAACCATTTGTTCATTCACTAATTCATTAAGAAAATTTTTGTGTGCTTCCATTATGTGCCAGGCATAGTGTAGGACTCTGGAGATACAAAAATGGAACAAAAATAATCCCCTCTACTCCAAGGAACTCAACAGTCTGGAGGAGATAAATATATATAAGAAGAGACAATGTGTTAAAATATTGTGATGTAATTTGTACTAGAGGAATGGTATAGAGAAAGCTTACTGTGGGAACAGAGAAATAATTCTGCTTGTGAATTTGAAGAATAAGTAGAAGTTTGCCAATTGGGCAAGGACAAAGAGAAAGATTTCAGGTAGAGACTAGGTCACCTCTGACTGAGCTATCCTAGCAGTCATCTCTTAATGAACTAGAGAATAAATAACTTTGTCACTCTGTCTAATCCTCAGTTACATGCTATGTTTCAGTAATGGAAATTGAATCCCAATGCTTCACTCTCTACCACTGAGCTATATCCTCAGCAGTTAAGCTATCTTTATATATATATGGATGCCTTGCCTCTCCAAAGGCATTGTGTCCTTTGTGATAAGAGCTTTGTCTTATTCCTCACAGTGCCCTCATTGTCAAAATGTTTCTTATGCATGGTAATTTTTTTTATGGATCCAAATGAATGAATGACAGCTGAGACAACATCCTTGACACTGAAGAAGCTGTTGCCCAAGTGTTCTGTCACATCTCCCCCTCCAGGGGCCTGAGACCTTTTGTGCAGATGAAGGACTTTAACATGAATGCTCTTTTTATGCTCCACCTTGGGACTAATCCTTCTCACTATTGAAAAGTTCTGTGAAGAAGGTAATATAATCCTGTGGTTAGTCATGGTAAAGGTGACTGATAAGGCTAAAGGACCATCATAGAAATGTGCCCTTTGTTCATATCTCAGTAGTAAAAATTAATATCATGTCTATTCCATGAGTAGAAATTGAGAACCTTGGGAAAATTACTTCTTGACAAACTCTAAAACGTGGAGGTAGGAATTGGGGAGACAATTGACAGAGGACAGCATCAAGGGAAGCCCCAAACAGGAAATAGGTTTTTCCTCTGTATCCTAATTCAGGGAGACCAGGAATTTGTCTCTAATGATTTTTCAGTTGAAAGGACCTCATTGCCTTTTCCATTTATGTTTCACTTCATGAAATGTTGCTAGGGAACATTCTACAGCTGATAGACTTCAAGTTGCTCTCCTACTACCCAGAGCACAGGCTTTCCTTCATGCTAGCAGAACATTCACTGTTTAAAATAATGAGACACAGCATTGATACAGGAAGAGCTACAATGAGTTGTGACAGTAATAACTGTAGAACACCCACTGTTCTTGATTTCAGGAAGGCTACCCAGAAATAGAGATTCTCTGGCTGATGACCAAATCCTGGAATACCGGAATACTTATGTTTAACAGGAGCAAGTATGTGTCTGCTGAAAAGTGGTGTGGCCTGGCATTGCGTTTCCTTCATCACCTTGGCTCCCTCAAGGGAAACTATGAGACTCAGGTGAGGAGGGAAAGGGCTAAGGTAGCATGACTTAGGGGGGAGAGAGTGTTTAGCTGGGCTCTCCATAAGGACCCAATGACCTTCCTTGGTTAGGCAAGGATATTAATCATTTTTCCTCTCAGTGGTTTCATATAACTTCAGGAGTTAGGGGACTGTACACAATAAACTCTTAGAGCAAAAACCAGGAAAGATGGAGAACAGGAGGAAACTTAGGGATAGCAAATGGAATCTAATTAAGAAGACTGCCAAGAGTGAGCTCTGGAAAGATGTGTCACTGTCAATGCCAGTGCATGCGGGGAAGGACGGGTCTCTGCTCAAAGCAATGGCTGTTCAAATAGGCATTTCCTCCAGGAACTATTTTCAGTTACAGGCAACTGGGCCATTAGCTAAACAGGAGAGGTTCAGTGGAGAAAAATCCTTGTTTCCAAATAAGAGCAAAGAATCCCAGGCACAATGGCATACACCTATGATCCCAGCTAATTAGGAGTTTGAAATGAGAGGATCTCAAGTTTGAGGCCAGCGTGGGAAACTTAGGGAGACCATCTCAATATATATCTATGGCTGGGGATATAGTTCAGTGGTAGAGTGCCCCTGGGTTCAATCCCCAGTACCACAAAAGAAAGAGAAAAGAATCATTTCTGTTTTGAGTACCTTTGCCTGTTCCTAATTAAACAGATCTAATGCATTTGGATCCCTCTACCCACAAATGGATTTGTTTTGCTCCCACAAATGGATCCTTGGATGGCAGAAGATAAGGGTTAGAATTCTGTGCTATCTCAATGGAACTTTCCCAAATTTCCTTTTCTTCTCAAGAAATTTCTTTGCTATTTTCTTTTCTAGATGAATGCTCTATATAGTGAGCTCATGGAAGTATTAGATAAAAAGAAGGGTTCTCTTTTTAATGGAGAGTGAGAATTACCAGAGCAAAGTTTCTGAGCAGGCAAGCTCACAGCACTTGAAGAAGATGTATTGTCCTGAACTGCTGAATATTTCAATTTTTGCCATTTTCTCTTTGAGCTTTTGTTTCTGTTTTCTCATGCCATGTTCTCATGTTGGTGAATGAATTTTCTTAAATAAAAGCATTTTGACATTTACCCAGTGACCAGCTCATTTATAGGGAATGAATGAATTTTCCAAATTCCTAAAGATTATATTGAAATAGCCTGTGTGAGAGCAAGATGCTTTATGTACCTTGTGAGCAATAGGGAATGTTCATCCCAGTCCAACACAACATTTTATGTCCAAAGTGCTTGAATTCCCAATACCTAAAGATGACAGAGAATCATAAACTTCATTGGAAGGATCTTCATGGTAATTTATCTGATTCATGAAATCTCTCTCTGGCATCCTTGAGAATTGGTTGCCCAGTCTCTATTAGAACATAATCTCTGTCAGGGAACTCCTAAGATAATTCTTTCTTTCTTTCTTTCTTTCTTTCTTTCTTTCTTTCTTTCTTTCTTTCTTTCTTTCTTTCTTTCTTTCTTTCTTTTTCTTTCTTTCTTTCTTTCATCTATCTATCTATCTATCTGTCATCATCTATATATCATCTTTCTCACTCTCACTGGTAAAAAGCTTTTCCTCATACTGAAGAGCAGTCTATCTCCCTGTGGCAAGTCTGCCATCTCTGTCCCAGACACTCTTTGGAGAATGGAAGATGCAAGTGAGCTGCTTCCTATCCTCTAGGTTTTTTCTTCTTCAGGGTAAAGCATCTTCAGGCCCCTTAGTTGTTCCTCCATGTGATCTGGTCACCCTAACTTCTAAAAGCCAAGTCCCATGTTCCAGTGAGTATTGACCCATGCAGCCACATTCTGCCTAGACTAGCATTAGTGTTCTGTGAGATCATGTTGGTTTTTTCTCCCTGTTGATCTGTATTAACATTTTTAACTTTTGATTTTGAAATACTTTCATACTCAAGAAAAGTTATAGGTAAGCACAAAGAACTGCCATACACACTTCACCCAGCCTCCCTGTTGCTTAACATTTAATCACATTGCCTTATTATTCACTGCATCTTTCTGAACCAGCTGAGATTAATTTGCAGACATCCTCCCCTACTACCCTTTAATATTTCAGTGTATATTTCATAAAGGCAGAATACTCTCCTACATAATCACAGTACAACCTTTAAAATTGGGAAAGTAACAATGTTACAATTTTAACATCTAATCCATAGAACCCATTCAAATTTCATTTATTATTATCCTAATAAAGTTCTTCATAAATTCAGGACCATAAGTTGCACTTTGCTTTCATATCTCCTTCATCTCTTGCAAATGACCTTGACTTAAAGAGTACAGGCTAATTACTTTGTACCATGAACCTCGATTTAGGTGGGTCCAGTATATGGTATGTGGTATGCCTCTGGCAAGGCATACCACAAAAGCAATGTGTTCCTGGTGCCTTACACCAGCAGGCACATGGTATTTATTTGCACCTGACTGGTTAAAATTAAGATAGTGGCTGCAAAGTTTCTCTAATGTCAAGTTAATTGATAAATATTTTGCAGTTAGCAATTACAAAGTACTTGGTGGAAGATACTTTGAAACTAAGTAAATATTCTATTCCTCATTAAACTTTCACCCACTAGTTTTGGTACCTGGTGACAATTCTTTTCTGAATCCAGTTTTATTTTGATAGCTGCTAAATGTTGATTGTTCTGTTTCCATCATTCCCCCTTCATTATTAGTTGGCATTGGTTAGGTAAAGCTTTTTCTTCTCCCCCAGTGTTTACTCTTTTGATTAAACCCAGGCAAGTGATCTACCACTGTACTATACCCCATCCCACTCCCACTTACATATTCACATTTTAAACTACATTTTAGTTTATACTAACAGAATCTTGTTTTATTCAGTGGATTATAATTCACTGTTATCATTATTTTGCTGCTGAAATCTGGCTCCTCTTTGGTATGTTCCCATCATCTTGAACACTATTTTATGGCATAATAAGATACTCTAGGCTTATCTTGTGCTTTCTGTGTCCCAGCCCTGGTGTTAGTTTTGGATATGAACTGTCCCCCAAAGCTCCTGTATTTCTGCAGGAATATTCAGAGGTAAACTGATTGGGCTAGGAGAGCTGTAAACTAATCAATCCATCCTAATTTGACTGAACTGACCAGGTGGTAACCATAGGCAAGTGAGGCATAGAGGAGGTGGGTCACTGCTGGCATGCCCTGGAAGGGTGCATCTTTCCTGTGGCTCCTTCTTCCTTCCAACTCCCACTACTTCCTTACTGTGATTAGTTATAAAGCTTTCCTCTGCTGGATTCTTCCCCCATGATGTGCTGCTCACTTTGGGCCCAGAGCAATGGAATTGGCTGTCTATGGACTAAAACTATGAGCTCCAAATAAACTTACTCCTCTAAATTATTCTCATCATGCATTTTAGTCATAGTTATGAAAAAGCTAAAACACCTGGAATCAGTCATTTCTCCAGGGAGCTCTAGTTTATGGAGAATGGTAGTTAATGCCCAAGATCTAGGCCCTAGGTGTATTCATTGTTACTGAGGTGCTGTCATTTATCTCAGTGGACAGGGCTATGAAATAAATGTGTGTATGTATATTTACATATTCACAGTGTATGCATATACATGCTTATCAACAAACACATGCATTTATGTAAAGCTATGAATTCATACTGATATCTTCATTTTTAGTTCAACACCAGAGAGTTTATTCTAGCCTTTCTTCCAACTGGCTCTCATTAAGCTCAAGTATTGATTTGTTTGCTCATTCTCTCTGCGTGATCTGTCTGCAACCACATGGTCCATCTCCTCAGCTCTAACATCACTTCCTGACAAAGAGGGCTGCTGGTTTGGCCTGAACTCCAGGGACACTGACAATCCCAGATAGCAAGCAAGGTGAGCCCCATCCCAGTCCTGACCCTGACTCTGGCCCTAACCCCTGCCAAAGAGAAGGGAAAGGGACTCCCTGACACTAAAACAGGCATTTCATATCATCATATCACTGGCTCAGTGGACTTACCATTTGCCTTCCCTTGCCTTCACCTTAGTTTCCTCCCATATCCTTGGGAAGTCAGTTCACATGTCAGCTCCTCAGAGAAATCTTCCTTCCCCGACAAGGTCAGTTTCTCTTCTTACAAGCCCTCTTAGCACTATTTGATTCTTCACAGTTTGTGGACATAAATTTGTGAAACAATTGGATTAATGTATATTTCCTTCAATAGTCTAAGTTTCATGACGACAGATCATGTTTTTGTTATCTTCTATATTATCAGTGTCTGGCACACTACCTGGTACTTTGAATAAGTATTTGCTGAAAGAACAAATAAAAGCTTTTAAGTCTTGTTTTTTCACACATATTGCCATTAATTAATGCCATCATTTGTAATTCCATGTTTCTTTAATTACACTTTTCAGAAGCCAGGCATGGTGACACATGGCTATAGTCCCAGTGACTTGAGGCAGGAGGAACACAAGTTGGAGGCCAGCCTGGGCCACTTAGCAAGACCATATCTCAAAAATTTTAAAAAGGGCTGGGGATGTAGCTCAGTGGTAAAGTGCCCCTGAGTTCAGTCCCCAGTACCCAAAACAAAAAAGAACAAAACAAAAAACCCTTTTGCCCACTCAAAAATTATACACTATATTCTCCCAACCTTTTCCCAAGGACATCACGAATGATTTGTCAATGTATTGCTGGGCCTCAGCTACACTGCTACAGCATTTCTCTGCTTTACCCATCTACATTGATATACTAAGCTCATTTGAAAAAAGAAAATGAGCTCATTCTGTATTGTAAGGTAAAAGGTTTTATAAACTCTTTGTGACCACTAGTTTCCTTCTAAGTACTCTTGTGACATATTCTAGAAACTTGCCTGGGATTAAGATGAAACCCTCCTTTATAAAGCTTGGGAGATCCATCTTCTCTTTCAACAAAAAGGGAACATATGTCCTTTTCCAGGCATCTAGCATGTCTTATTCATGTTTTATTCCCCAGAATTCCCTAAAGTTTATAGGCAGTAAGTAGTTCAGCAATCTCTTCTGCAGCTTCCCTCAATATCCTGACATAAAATTTGTCTAGGCCAAGAGACCCAAGATCATTTAAAGCATCTCAGTGCTCTCTTACAATTTTCTTACTAAGATCCTCAGCTGCCTCCTGCCAATATCTACTTGACCCTTTCCAGCCTAATGGACAGTTTGGATGTTAGAAAAAAAACAAACCAAAGTGGGAATTAGAGGGTTGGCTTTCTTTGTTGTCTGGTAAGCATTATAAAATTTTGTTTTTCATTTTATACCCTGAGGCACTATTCACATTTTTATGTGTACCTAATATTCTATAACTTTTGAACACCTAATTATAATTTTAAAAAGAATAATATCTGTCCCAGTGCATGGATTTTGAGGCCTTCTTGATTGATTTCTTAATGAAAATGAAAATATAAATAGCCTTTTTCTTACACCTAAAATTAATTCCTATTGGGTCAGGCCTTCCTGACATGGTTTTGTAGTTTCAGTTACTATTTCATATGGTCAGACGACACTCTTGTTTTTCCATGTTTTTAATGTGTTAGCACCAAAGACCTCTGTGCATCTGCATCATTTTCTTTAGCTACCTCTCCTTTTACTTTATTAAAATAATTCATCATTATAGGGTCAAATTTTAGTTTTTAAGAGCTTTTCAACCCATTTGTGAGTGCAGCTAAGTAGAAAGTAAAAGAAAACTAACAATTAATGCATACCTACTAAGTTTTAAAGACTGATGCATAGTGCCATCTCATTCACTTGTCAGAACCACCTTGTGAAGTAGGTGATTCCATGCCATTGATCATTCCATGCCCTTCTCTTGCTTCCCTACCTCCTGACATTCCCATAGGAACCTAAAGCTTGGAGAGTTAACTTAACCAAGGTACCACAGCTAATCAATGGCATAGCTGTGCTTAAAGCCAGATCTATGGTATCATGCTCTTTTTTTTTCCTTCCTGCTATCTTTTATTTTCTGAACACTTTCCAAGTCTGCCTTTCTAAATTCTAAAGCAAAATATCTTACTGTAGCTAACCTTATGCGCTCACAAACTGAGACAATATGGTTATTG